TACAGACAGCTCCCGAAAAGCTGTTCTTATTAGGGACATCGACTGTATATAGTAGAAATTATTGATGTTTTTATCATGAAAATGTTTGTTTGCTTTTGAGTTCGTCGTTAGAAACATTTACTAATAGCTTGGTTCGTAGTACTAATAGCGAAGATTGTATGTTCAGTTGTTGTTCAGTTTGTGAAAATTTCTTTTTGGAAAAGGTTGAAGTTGAAGAGCAGACTTAAGATGGTAGTGTTAAAATAGCTTGGTAGCAATGGATAAATCAATATAGTCGTGCAGAGAAAAGAAGAGTTTTCAGGAACTGTTCATCAAACAGTACTATTGTTAAAATCGAAAGTTGAATATTGTTTACTTCATGTATATATCTAACGAGAACAATCAAAGTACTTTGAAAAGTTAAAAACAGAGGATACTGATGAAAAAATTGTATTACAATTTCATTTTACAGATAACTTTAATATGAAAAAACATGATGAGATTCAACAAGTTCATTGGAATTCAAAATCATTGACCATATTCACTGTTTTTGTTTGATCAAAAACTAAAAGTATCTCTTTTGCTTTATCATCATTGCATATAACACATGATCAGTTTGTCGTGAATTCTGCTTTACAGATTGTTTTACATTATGTTGAATCAATGCTTCCAAATGTTAAAGAAATAAATTGTTTGTCTGATGATGCGGTTTCTCAGTTCAAAGAGTGCCATCATTTTTGAAACTTAACAAGAATTGCACGCGACCGAAAAACTAATTTGAGTAGGCATTGTTTTGGAACTTCTTGTGACAAAGGTGTAGTCGATGGTATCGGAAGTGTTGTGCAACGCCTCGTTTGGTCAACTATATTAGCGGAAGAAGTGTGTCAATCAGCTGAGAATTTTATTGAAACTTGTAAGAAAGAAGACTGACAAAAGAATTCTTATTGAAATAAAAATTGATGAAATTGAAAAACCGACAATCAAAGTAGAAAATCTGTTTAAAACAGCAAGATTTGTTGCGGAAACACAAAAGATACATTCTGTTTAAAAAGTTGATGAAAATAATATGGAATTTCGTTATATTCTATGTATGCTTTAAAAAGTGTAAAATATTAATAGTACGAAGATTTTCATAGTTACTGTTACTTTTAATATTAGCCCATGTTATTTTTTCTTTGTGTGTTTTGACGCTCCGATGAAAAAAATACGGCAACAGTTTTCTAGCTGGGATTCTATTGATTTAGACAAAACTGTCGGAAAGAGGAAAAGTGCGACAAGATATATTAGTGGAAATATTTTAAAAAAACTTGGTAAAACTTTTTGAACTTAAGAGAAATAAAAGAATCTACCCAGCTCGAAGGAGATCAGGTCTTCGTCCCGAGCTACATAAAAACTAGCATTCAAGATCTCAAGCATTTGAATTCTAGCAGCCAAGAGTCTCCAAGAAAATTTCGAACATTTAGCAGCAGTATAGCTTACTGAATCCAAATTTTTCAATTCTAACACAGGCCTTGTACTTTTGTATAGGCATCAATAAGAGTGTCCGCGGTAAAATTCGGAGAAAATTTCCATATAAATTCGTGAAAACTACTGAGTCAGACGATTCCACATTGATTCAGAACTACATTTTATATTCATATAAAAAAGTGCCATAGCTTTACTTTTTCTTTTTCATTTTTCCAGCAAATCAAAACGATTAAAAGAAAGGTTTTTTAATCATTGGAAAGCTCGTCTCATGTTTAACAAAACTGACCCGAACTGCATTTCGTTTAGAGATTCTCATTCGCAGGATATGGAAAGCCGAAGTAGAACATTCGGAATTCAGGGTTCTTGTTTGTTAAAGTGTTACCCAACTATAAATCATTTCTGCACGATACAGACTTCAATGGAGAAAATATCAGTTTTTAGTATAAATAGAACTCGAAGAGATGCGTCGAATGACGTCTTAATGAACTTACACGGCATTGTAGTTTTTGAGATGTTCGAAAAAGTGTGTTAAAAACATTACGGCGTTATTTTTGAACAAGCAGACATAGATTTTTCATACAACTAATTAAGATCTCGATCATCTATTGACCTTATAAGACAAAAAGTGAACATCTGTATGTTCGCATGCATCTTCGAAGAGCTAACTGGTTGCTTTTGTATTACAGTATGATTCTCCATCAACAATCGCATGTTTGAATCGACTAATGTATACAAGCCAGTCATCAAATACAAAACGTGGATCTTGAATTGCAATATGGTTACAGCGCTCCATATGGATGAAGATATCCTATTTTTACAGAAAATTATATATTCTGATCGAGAGTTTCACAAGAAGATTCAGGAGTAATTGGATTCATTTTTTCTTAGACTCATTTTATAAGATGAATTGAATTGGTTAGTTTGATTAAGAAAATCTAGAAATCAAAGTGCTAGATCGCTCAAGTGAAGCTATTTTTTTCTTAACGACATATTTTTAAATATAATAGTTATCGGTAACTAATCAAATAATTTAATAACAACAATTCATACTCTGAATGTATGTAGTACACCAGTTCGATCCTGTGGTTTCTGACTTAGAAAACTGAAGTGAAGAAACTCGCATACCTGTAACAGCACTTGATAACGTGTGCTAAGTTCGACTGAAATGGATCATCCTATTTTCCATTCAGTCGTACTCAACATTGAATACTAATGACAGGATCATGCGATACTTCATCGATCATTGAAAGCTTTGTTAACACTGATTCCTTGTATCAATAAAATTTGAAATAAAATGTTTTTCATATATCAAAAATTGACATTTGAAAATTTTGAAGGAAAACGAAACCTAACCGTAAAATAATAAGCATCATTTGTCGGATATCATGTAGTCATCGTTGCAAAGATTTATTCATCAACAACATTGATATAAAACGAAATCTTTGATAACAACCAACAATCATGAAATTTACCTGAAGTGTATTTATGTCACTCATTCACCTGAGGTAAAATCGACTGAGAGAACTAATCAAAAGTGTTCCAATTTAAAGGAAGCCACCGATTAAGTATATGAAACATATCTCACCTAAACAGCCATATCAAATATCATATTGGGCGAGGATGTGAGATTCGTTCTAGTGGAATATGGCATTTTGAATGACAAAGAACTTAAAGCAGAATCTATTAGAAATAAAAAGCTGTTAATGTAATTCCGAGTGAAATTGGAATACGGAACACTATTTATCTATGACTAATAATACCCTGCCAAACTCTCCTATTATTCAGCGCTTGACCGATCTTAGGAGGGGTGCGCAATAGGTTCTTATGAATCTACGGTTTCTCCGCCATATTTTATACCTAGTCTATTCAGTATGTCTCTAACCATTTGTAATCTGTCAAGCACCATTCTAGTAATCGTCTGTGATAGTCGGATACCTATTCACAACCGTCTGTGGAGAAGGTAGTAAGAACAGGTGGCGCCAATTTTCTGGACTAAACAGTTCGACATTTCTCTTCGTTTGTGTTTCATAAAAAGCATCTAAAAAGAAACATAATGACTTCACATAATGAGCTTTTTCTTGGGTATGGGTAGATTTCGAAATAATAATTCAATTTCAGCATCACAACTATTTCCTCTACGAACAGCTGCCATCGATATTCATCCAAATGCTCGATGGCAACAAAATGGGATTACAGTAGCTGGAAAAAATGCAGATGGCAATGGAATCAATCAACTCTCATTCCCATTGGATTTGTTTGTTGATGATGAACAAACAATCTATGTCGCTTATACAGGCAATCATCGTATTATGGAATGGAAATGGGGAGCAACGGGTGGACAAGTGGTTGCCGATGGAAATGAACAAGGAAGTGGGGCTCATCAATTGTCTAACCCATTGGATGTGATTGTCGACAAAGAGACAGATAGTCTCATCCTATGTGATAATTCGAATAGAAGAGTGATTCGATGGTCTCGTCGAAATGGGACAAGTAGAGAAACAATCATATCCAACATCGCTTGTTGGGGTTTGACAATGGACGAGAATGGATCTCTCTATGTCGTTGACTATGGAAAACATGAAGTGAGACGATATCGAAGAGGAGAATCGAAAGGAACAGTGGTTGCAGGTGGCAAAGGAAGTGGAAATCGTCTCAATAAACTCGATAGACTACAATACGTATTCGTCGATCGAGATCAATCAGTCTATGTATCTGAATGGAGAAATCATCGTGTGATGAAATGGATGAAAGGTGCAAAACAAGGCATTGTCATGATGGTGGTCAAGGAGAAGAAAATGGTCTTACACAATTGTCATATCCTCAAGGAGTCGTTGTCGATCAATTAGGCACTGTCTATGTGGCTGATGATGGCAATAATCGAATCATGCGTTGGCCCAAAGGAGCTAGACAGGAAAGCGTCATTGTTGGTGGACACGGTGAAGGAGGACAATCGAATCAACTGAATAGGCCCATCGGTTTGTCATTTGATCGACACGGCAATCTCTATGCCGTCGATTGTGGAAATCATCAAGTACAAAAATTCAATATTGAATAATAACAGATAGCGCTAAATAAGTAAATACCTTTTATCCAAGTTTCCTTTATTTCTCCTTCTGAAGAATGATGTCACAGGTAGCTCACTTATTATTTTTCGTGCTTATTAGTACTTACAGTGATATTTCTGGTGATCAGATGTGGGTGTGAGTGGTTGTGGGTGAGTATGGGTGTGGGTCGTTGTGGGTGGGTGTGGATGTGTGTAGTGTGGGTGTCGATGCGTTGATCAAAAGAAAACTTGGATCCACACGCCACATCCGCACCTGCACCCACACCCACACCCTCGAGTCGATAAGCCGTGAGATCGGTTCCCTCCAAAAATTGAGTCTTTTACTTTCCAAATAGTTAATTCGGATGTCAGGAGTTGATTGTCGTTCAAATTAAACCATTAGACCTTATTTTGACTGCGTGCGGCTGACTCAAAATTCAAGATTCCCTATCTCCTACACTGAGAAAAGGTACCATACGGAACTTAAAAAAGGTTGCGAATTGTGTAACGAAATCGAAACCTTTTTAAAGTTCCGTATGAAAGTGGTTTCGTACAAAACTATTTCTTTTTTGCTGCTAGAAAAAGTTTCGTATGAATATGGTTTCGTATAATACTTTTTTCTTCTGCTTTCAAAAAAGGTTTCGTAGGCTAAGTTTCGTACCGATTTCAATACAATCCCACTAAGCTTATAGTAATCCATACCTCTGCACCTATAGTACTCTATCTCAAGGGGAAAAAACTATTTGGACATTCCGAGCCATTCCAAGGCATTCCTATGGATTCCTATCCATTCTTAGGCATTCGCATACATTCACAGTTTTCTTAAATCATCGTATTGATATCTTGAAATTGGGTGTACTTCTGCGATTCGAATTAGATAAACGTTGAACTAAGCTTGTGCATATTTCATAAGTAGCAATATATAGCATTCTGAGAAACAGTAGGGCTTCTTAGATTAGATGCTGTGCTAAGATAATTATTCGATGAATATGTGCGCATCTTAATATCGTATTGCTGATAAAGGTCAATTGATCATTCTCGTGCAGACTTCTGCTTTGTTCATTTAACTTATCAATATAACAGAATTTAGTTTTATAAAACTAAAATCGTATACGTTCAATACATTTTCTATTTTGTTCCCTAATAAAAACAGTAGTTTTAAGTTTGAAAGAATATCTTTCATATTTTGCTGATCATGATAAATATCAGAAAATATTGTTTATTTTTCAATGTTAAGCCGAAATATGTTGAATGATTTTATTTAAAACTGTGATAACTAAAAAATGAATTACATTATAGAAAAACTAGATGAGATTTTAGTAACAATATAATCCAGAGAGGATAATTCGAAAACTGATTTATAGATATTGGAAGACTGAAAGATGAAAGTGGCTAATTGTATCTACCATTGATCTTGAGGGTGTGGGGGTGGGGGTGAGTATTATATATAAGATATCCTACGACTATAGTTTCGACCTTTCTCAAGGGTCAATCCTCAGGTAGGTTTAAGCACTGCATAATCTCTTATATAGAAATTGAAAAGATAATAAAATCTTCCAATATTCAAATATAAAAGCTTAAACAAAGCAGAGAATTCTTTTATAAAATAGAGTGAGTATTATATATAAGATGTGGGTGAGGGTGAGGGTGAGACGAAGCTGCCATAACTAGTTTCACGTCGGCTAAGATGATTCTCCAATGGCTTATCTATTTGAATTAAAAATCCAAACACAGATAAATTTACATTTTATCTAATATTCAGAAGAATAAAAGGTATAGTAAATTTTTTCGACAGACTAGAATGAAACTATTATTTTTTTGAAGCAATACTTTGGCTTCATGGTTCAAGGTTAATGACATGAGAATTTTGAGTGCGCGCGTAATTGTATTTTTGTACCATCAAACTGAGATTCTGTTGTGCATCGAAAAAGTAGAGGAAGACCGTCCGTTTGTTTCACAAATTCCTCTTTGATTTGATCATATTCAATGAGAACTACAAGTGGGCAAACAGGTGTCAAAGAGAATCAGTGATAGAATCACTCTATATCGCGGAAGAAACGAATATTTTAACGATCAGTGCCTAACGATTCGACTATATCAAATTAGCGAGTGTTGAACAAATTGAACAAACACGAAGCTAAATTTCAATGAAATGTTTATTATTTAAAAAAGAAAGTATGAAATACAAGACAAAGTTTTTGATATAACTGTTGAATGGCATTGGATGATTTTCTTATGAAAAAATCAAAATTATTTTTACTACAACAGAGGACAAGCAACTGAGGGGTTGAGGTGCTGTAACGAGACAATTATTAGAATTATTTATCGAAGAAAAAGCGCCCGATTGATATTCGTTGCTGCTCATTTAATTTCACTGGACGGCAGAGGTTTGTGCTTACCAGAGACCGAAACGAATCAAAAAAATTCAACTCGACTCGACTCGACTCGGCTCGACTCGACATGCATCTAAAAAACATCTGACTCGGCTCGACTCGACTCGACTCGGCTCGAGTCGAGTCGAGTCGAGCCGCCGAGTATCGATTCAAAATCGAATGTTTAGAAGTACATTCTTAATATCAAGAATGAGAAGAAATTTAGACACACATTTCACTTGTATCATATTGTTGAAACATCCATGTCGGACCACACGAAAAGGAAACCGGCAGCTTCAGGAAATTGCGACAATTTCTTGAAAGCAGTATTTGACACTGGGAGATCTCAGATTTTTTTTCTGTGTCTTCCCATTAAAATCCTGTCTTTGTCGCTCAAAGATGGTCGGAAGTCATCGAAAAAGTATTTCGCTCTCTCCACTTGATGTACTGCTTCGATTTTCTATCGATTTTCGGAGGTTCTCTGTCAGAAACAGAAATTTTCTACAAGTTTTCTACTCGGTTTCAGAGCTTGGAATTATCGTCTCGAATAATTCTGAATCATTTTCTTGCGCGATTTCGGCAATACTGCAGGCCGATTTCTTCTCCCCATAAATGTTCCAAGACTATTCGAAACGGTCCTATTGGATGGAATGGTTAACATATTTCATCGATTTCAATATTCTAAATATGATCAAATATTTGATCATATAAGCATCCATTCTGTTTTGATCATCTTTTTGCGATAGATAATGAAATAATGCAATACACTACTAAATCTGTTGCACGTCGCATGCCGATCACTTACATAGGCTGACGATCAATCAAGTCATTGCATTCTAATTAATCTTTGAACAGTCAATAGTGCATTGAATAAAATGAGAGCTAGTGTATATCATTCATTGTAGTTTATTTGGCGTCGTCAGTTCATCGCTGTCTATTCATTTTAATGCTTTGTTCAACCTATTCATTGAAATGAATTGATATTGTCTCATCTCGGTTCGTCTAACGATGACGATGACTAATATTGAGAAACAAATGATAGAATTATGAAAAAATTTTTAAAAAGTCGAATCGTTGGGGTCAAATTCGACTCGACTCGACTCGACAGTAGATCTGACTGGACTCGACTCGACTCCACACGTTTCTCAAACTTCGCACTCGGGCTCGACTCGACTCGGTTCACGCCGAGTCGAGTCGAGTCGATTTGTCGAATACTCGACTCGTTTTCGGTCTCTGGTGCTTACCAGGGAGTTTCCGACCTGCAAAGCAACATGTCACAACATGTATAAAAGCGGGATTTGTATGACACGGACACCGGCAGATATCATCCATTGTCGAATAAAATTTTATGCAAATATCTAAAGTGTGTTATACTCTTGTTAAAATCCTTTCTTTTTTGCAATTGCAAAAAACAAGTCTCGTCAACAGAAAAGCAAAGCATATATATGCGTATAAAAAGAAAATACCATATGACACATGAAAGTATCTTGATAAACATGACGTAATGATTCCATATAAGGAATAACATTCACTTTAGATAAATGACATCCTCGCCTCATCATGAGTATATCGTAGTCGTCGCCAGTGTAGGCTTTTTCCAAGATACGAAGCCAATATTGATGCTGCATATTTTGTACAGAATTGTCTGAATCACTCAATTGGTTTTCTCCCACACAACACAGTGCTTCGACATTGTCATTGTGCTCTTCTTTTTCTTTTCTTCCATCTGGCTTCTCATGTTTTTGTCTTTCCTTTCCTTCCAGCTTGTATCATCATTGCGAAGCGAGAGAAACGAGCGAGGAATGAAAGAAAAGAGAAAGAAGAGCACAAGGACGATGCCGAAGCACTGTGTTGTGTGGGAAAAAACCAGTTGAATGATTCAGACAATTCTGGACAAATATGCAGCATCAATATTGGTTTCGTATCTTGGAAAAAGCCTACACTGATGACAACTACGATGTATAAGAGGAGTATCCTGGGTGAGACGATAGTGGCAAAACAATCTCGATCTTTTGAAACAATCACGAAAATTTGCTTCACAATCAATCATCAAGTGAGTAACTTTATACCAAAAGAGTGCAACCCAGGAGCGCTAGGACTATGTTTCGATTTGTTCTATGCTCATTGCTTAAGACAGATTAAGGTGGAATGAATTAGAACAGGATTTTTATTTGGCGTCGAAATTGAAATATCTCTGTACAGTGATCAAAGGCATATTAGTCGATTTTGGACCTCTCAGGAAAATGCTTCTAGCTTCGCAGCGAAGCAACTTACGGAGGCCGGTCAAACGTAGATCGAAAGAGCATGGTTTTCTCTATCAAATGGACGTATTAAACTTGAAATTGAATTGGAACTCTTTTTGAGAGACAGCCGAGAAAATGTTAGGAAATAATTCGCTCAGTCAAGCAGGTACTAATCAATGGATTTTGACGTAGTTTTTATGCCCCAGAAGTTGCTTGTTTAAATGGCAAAAGCCGCAAGTCGCTAGCTTGCTTCAATCAAAAGTTATTCGAAAAACAGTTTTCCTTTTTCACTTCTGGCGCCGACAATAGATAGAAATTCCTTTCTTGTCTCAATTATGTTCAAGTAGCGAACTAGCTTTGAAAAAAATATTTTATAGAGCAAGATTTTTGTACGTGATAAATTTGAAAAACATAATTTGGAATGATGGAAGCTATGTAGGAAAGGAACGTTACCGTCGTCAGACAGTTACGTTACCTGGTAGCTTTTCAGAAGACGAACTATCACTTTCTTTCGACCTAATAACATCAATATATCACTTAATAGTGCTATGAGTTTCTTGTAACTAGGTGAAAGTGAGAGTGTGAATAGAAATAGGCTGTTACACGATCAACTGTTGTTTCATATCTTCCCAGGACGCTCATCGTGTGAATTTATATGATATTATATCATGACAAGTAATTCTTCAAATAAACAAACAGACAAACATTTGAATTACTTAAGATACAATATTAGCGGATAGCATTTCCCCCACATGAAAGTGTACGAACAGAAAAACATGAAGAAGAAAAAACACAGAAAGAGAGAAAGGATGCACCGATTAGATTTAGATTTCAGTCTGTTTCGTACAAGTCTATTGGCATCTCATTGAGCGTCGAGAACTAGTCGCAAGCTAGTGCATCCCTATCTATACCACTGATTTGATCGAAAAAAAAGAATATCGAAATGAATTGGGACGTATGCTGCTTCATTCTTCTCTATTGGATCTTCTTTTTTTCTTTTTCTCCTCTTTCTTCTGTTTTTTTTTCTATTTTTTGCTTTTCATACACTGCGATATCACTATCACAACGAATAATATCGTTCTATTACATCCCAATAATAAGAAAGAGACAGAATAGAAAGCACAGAAAAACATGACGGTGTATGGTGAGGTGAATTTAAACAAGATATAAAGATTCAGAGCATCATACGACGCGTTTCGATCCCTGTTAGAGAATCATCATGAGCCACATTTTGAATCTTAACTACATCGATGACAATAGCGTAACAAATGAAATACTATTGAATAAAAGTCAAAAGACTATCATAACAATAAGATTTCAAGCTATAAACTAATGACAATGAATCGTAGTTGTTTTATCAGTTAAGTGATGATAATGTGTGTAAACATCACAGTCAGCATATAAACCTGTTGTGAAAAAGAGAGTAGCATATAAATATCAGAGTTCTTGTCTCTTCTAGAGCGCTATTCATTGATTTATCTGGAATTTCAATTAAGCGTCACTATCTACATACAATATGGACATGGCAGCTGTTTCTGGTGTTCGAGGGCTTCTTGACAGCCTTTCTGCAGAAGATGTTAGTCGCCTTCGTGGTCTTGGTAGTAACACGGCTCGTTACAACTTCCTTTACAACCGTGCTAATTCTCAACAGCGTAAGCATCTTGATACTGTGCGTGCTAACCCAAATCTTTACAACAAGCTCTTTGATGACTGGATAGTTATCATAAACTGCAGCTTACTGTAATACAGATACGGATTCATGTGTTTTACTCGCAGTAGCACAAACATTATTGGTAGTTCCTTTTATTCTTTGTGTTCGCTATGCGTGACATTTCATTTTCGCTGTTCTTCCGCTGATGTCACACTTATACTTATCCACGCTTTTAATATTATCCTATTTCTTCCTCAGTCATGTATCTGTTTTCCTTTTTCCTAAACACGTTCAAAAATGATAGTTCAAGTATTAAGGATGTGAGTATAATAAATTAAAGAGTGTGAGTTTACGTAATCGTAGCAATTTGATTGAATTCTCCATTTCAGGTTACACCCGCTTTCAAATAATGGTTTCAACAGCCATGGTGATGAGGTTGACAAGATTAGGAACCACATACCTGCATAAGTTGAACAAAATGGCGAAATTGTTGAGATTTTCATTTCAAGACTACAGTATGGAATATCAAACAGAATTTGTACGATCAAAATAATAGCAAACGTTTGCCTTCCACTAACGAAAGAGTTCATCGTGTAAATCGAAGTATATTAGGAAGGAGTCGTCCGTTTGCGTAGAGCAACTACTCCACAAGAGGGAAAGGAAATAAGTAATTTACATCGAAATTAGAGATTGAGAAATGGCATGTAGCTCAGATCGAATGAATGGTGGGTGAGGGTGTTGGTGGGTGTGGGGTGAGTGAAGCAACCATAATGTTAACATTGCACCTCAGCAACGAGGATCATCAGATAGTCATGTTAAAAATCTCGAAAGAATCAAAACAAACTATCTTGAGGGTGGGTGTGTTGGTGAGGGGTGAGGGTGAGATTAATATAGAATTAATCAAAAGCTAGCAAAATGCGTTGCGATTACGCTTATTGAATCTAGTCAATTGCTAGTGATTTACAGGTGTTAAAGAAAACTCTCCTACTATGTCATAACTATTAGTCAAAGGTCCGAAGACTTCCAATAAATATAAGTCCAATAAATTGTCCAATAAATTGCAGTTGTAATATTAATATTTGAATCTTTCTTTGTTGTTGCTTCAAGTTCTTTTAAAATTTCTTCTTTCGATAAGTTAGTGGTCATAAAAACATCATCAATATATCTATATATAAATATAAATAATTAGTAAGGATAATAGAATAAAACGAATTAGTTTTTTTCTACTTACCGACCATAAATTTCTTTGTGCAATGTTTGATGTTCAATTAAATCTTGTTCCCAATCGAACATATAAATATTAGTTAAAATCATAGTAAAAGGTGAACCCATTGCACCACCTTTAATTTGTCGATAATATTTGTCTTTATAAGCAAACGAATTTGTATCTAGTACGACACGTGCTAATCTAAGAATAGCATCTATAGTGAGATTGCCAATTTTTTTATTTGTTGCATATTTTGTACAAAATCGACTTAATGCAGCAAGAGCACCATCACGTGGTATCATCGTATATAAATCACTAACATCAAAGATAACAAAGAGTGTTGTTGAGGTAAGATAAACATCTTGTTGATATTTTTCTAATTTTCGAACAACATCAATACCATTAATAAATGTATAATCTTTTGTAACTTCATTGTAAATTGGAGTAAGAAGTTGATCGAGAAAACTTGATATAAGTCTAGCTGGTGCATTAATTGAAGCAATAATAGGACGAACTGGTAGATCAGGCTATGAGAGAGAAAAAAACCAAGAAGAAATTATTTAATAAGTGAGGAAAAAAAAATAATTTTCTACCTTATGTACTTTAAGATTAAAATAAATATGAGCTAGTTCTAATGTGTTTAAATTTGGATACATTTCTTTATGTTGTTCTTTTGTAATTCTACCATTTTTCAATAAATAATCCAATAATGTTAATACAGAATGCAGATCTGATAAGTGCAGTAATGATTTATTAGATAGACGAATATCTCAAATCAACTTTCATTGTTTATACTTCTCATTTCCATCGGATGGAATCAGCCAGTTTTATAACCGATTTCGATTACATTGGTTTTCCAAGACGCTGTTTTGAGACATACATATGATTTGGGAGAGCTTATCGGAGTATGAAAGATTACTCGATGGAATTGGAATATTTTGAAAATGCCTTACAATACTTGAAAAAGTCTTACAACAGAAGCATCCTCATCTAGCTCTTAGCTACATATACCAACATCGATGATGTTCGCCGATTGATGGGTGATTATGAAAAAGGCACTTTCATTTCATCGAAAAGCATTAGATATTCTAGAAACTATTCCAAGCAAAGCTCTCGATCTCGCAACAGTGTACGCGAACTTAGGTGAAACCTATTGAGAAATGAAAAATTATTCAACAGCTTTGACATATTTTCAAAAGCATTACAAATACGTGAAAACAAACTACCCAAAAATCATCCTCATTTAGCTGTGATTTATCACAATTTGGCAGAATTATATCTGGCTACTAGAAAATATAGCATGGCAATGAAAAATATTCAACAAGTAATAGATATTGATCAGGAGAGATTGTCTTCGACACATCCTCGTCTTTTGAACTATGAACAAACATTTGAATAAATTCAACAGAAGTTGTAGAACTCTTATTGTTTTTTATTGTTACATAAGCTTATTGGCGTTGCCGTACATTCATTCATTCATTCTCATAAGTATGGCAGATGGGTGTGGGTGTGAATGAGAGATGACTTTAAGAAAGATAATTCTGATATTTTCTGCTAGATTCAATCTTTATTCGACCGCATTATCCGAGAAAATTCATCTTGTTTTGCTTTTAACCGATGTACTATAGACAGCGAGAAATAGGCTACTTTGTCTGCTACATCAAATGATTATATTCATGGATTAGTTCGTATGGCATATTGTCTTGATTCAAGCGGCGGCGAATCTACTGTCTATTGTTTGTTTTTGACCATATATAGCAACGTTGAATCGAATGACTACACACAAAATGTCGAACTATCTAAGTAATTTACCTACTGAATTGATTGAAAAGATATTTGATTATATTTCTATCGATGATATTTTCTCGTCTGTGTATTTCGTCGACAAACATCTTCGTGCTATCTGTTGTATCTATTCTCGTTTTCAACTCGATTTCACTCATACGGTCAACAAGAAGAAACAATTTGATTTTATTTGTCGTCATATACCCAATCTGGCAACTCGTATCACTTCATTAACATTTGCTGATGACGATAATGATATAACATATACAAAAATCGCTAGTTTTTTCTCTTCAACTACTATGAAGGATATTTTTGCAAGTTTACATTCGATTACTTTCAGTGCGGTCAATTCTAATCTTTGGAATACAATTCGAATTCGATTGCCAACATTCGTCTCCTTACGATCAATGTCCATCGATTTTGTTGATGATTCAAATCAATTGTCAGCATCGGCATTGATGTCAATCATCATTTACGATCTTTTATTTACTGTACGATCATTAAAATATCTTTTTGTCTCTTCACCGTATGGTCAGTCTAAAACAATAGCAATTTCACAATCATCTTGTTCAATACAAACATCCACTATTGAATGTTTAACAATAAAAGGTATTCTGATTAATCTACATGAGATTTGTATCATTGCACCAAGATTACGACAACTCAATGTTGAATTAACTGTTAATCAAATTTTCGATATGAATATGATTTTTCAACCACCTTACAATTTACAACAATTATCATTGACGATCGGTCATATAACTATGTTCGAGATTAGACATTTACTTGCACCAATGATCCGTCTTACTCATTTGACTCTTCATATCAAAAATGTCAAAAATGATTTATGTAACGGTCATACATGGATACAATTATTAACTCGAATCATTGTCTTTCAATTCGTATTTGAAATATCAGATAAAAATCATGTCGATCTTGATTCGTTTCGTACACGATTCTGGCTTGAAGAAAAGAAATGATATATTACCTTTGATCAATGGCTTGATGATTCCTGTTCAATTCTTTATACACATCCATATTATGCTGAATATCGTTATCCATTATCATGTCGGAAAAAAACATTAATGACAGAATCGACTGGATTAGTATCGACCACATTTCCACATACAAACTATCTTATTTTTGATTGTCATTCACGGATAGAAAAAACATTTATGTCGATTTACTCATGTTCAAACAATTATCGTGTACGGAAATCTGAACACTGCACTTGAATATATCACAAGTTGTATTGATCTATCGCGAATGACGTGTTTCATGCAAGGTCGATGGAAAACTAAGCGGTCAAATAATGAATTCGTTCGGACACTTCATAGTCTTCCATGTTTACGATCTCTCGTCTTAAATGTCTCAACTGTTGTCTTACTTTTTGATCAACATTGGCCACAAATTATTGATCTTAATATACGGAATAATTGTATTGTATCACCGAAATCTTTATCATCAATCGAAATCGATGGACTTTGCCGTTCGTTTACTCATTTAAAACGATTAGCATTTGATTGTGAAAATGTACGAAATTTGTCGAAGTTATTCAATAACATGACAACGACATTATCGAATATACAGATTCGTCATTATACCAATCTACGTGATAATAATCTTCGATTGATTACACGTCAATGGCTCGAACAAAATACAAAATTGAGCAATTTTGACTATTTTAACGATAATGATTGTTGTGTTTATTTATGGCTTTAATTTTATTCCGTTGTCAATATGTACCAAAGTTAAATTACATTATTGAATTTTCGGATATTTTACTAACAGTTGTGAACAAATCTCGTAACTTAATTCAAATCATCATAAATGTTTATTGAAAAACAACAAACTTTGATAATTTTTTCTTACTCTCTGAATAACTAGATGTAAAGTTTTCTCTCAACTAACATAATTTATGTTTTTGGAAAAAAACAATAAATCAATAAAATGTACAAAACAATAACAAAATTGTTTGACTTTTGTTTTTTGAAAACGAGTCATCTATAAAGGACATTCACGTAAACGTCACCGTTTTTTCCACCTCTCCTGTTCGGTAGCGACCTGATCCATATCTAGATTTAACTTCATATCTGCTTTATACTTAATTTCGAAACTAAATAGCATCACGTGAGAGCAGACCACGAGAGATCTATATATGAAAGAATTGCAAACCATTTGTACAGTTTCACTTCAAAATTTTTTGAAAATTTCGTTTTCCATTGGAATGATAGTTCACCGAAAAAATCATAAAAAGAGGATATAGAAGATGAGATGAATGTCTGATCAATATATCCCACAATGAACTTGTATTTGTAAACATTTTATTAAGTCTCGTCTTCGAACGCAAGTCTAAGAATAAGCAGTCACGATCGGTTTCGACCTTGCTTAAGAATCTCATCAGATGGCTTTATTCAAATTTATCATCATAAAATGACGATGAAACTGCAATCAATCCCTAGAATAGAGAAGATACAGTATTAAAATTATGACATCTCATGAAACCGTTAAGCAAGGTCAAAACTAGTCATGACTGCTTATTCTTAATGTTGGCATAATGTTGGGAGTTTCCTTTAAATCAGATGTAACGAAAATGTGAGGTTGTAGTTTAATTGTTTGAAAGAAGCGAAAATCGTCGAACGCAACAAAAGCAAATAAATATATATATTTGCTTTTCTCTCACTATCAAGCGGCTCGACAATAGGCTTATTTTGGATGCGCAATAAATGCCTTTTGAAGGAGTCATCGCAAATATTTGATAAAAAAAAAAGAACAAAAAATCACCATATCGTCAAAAACTTATCACACCGAACATGCACAAAACACATTTTTCTGCTTTTTCCTTTTTTGATACGAAAGTTTTACGAAAGCATTTGTAATTATCGATTTTTCTGATAAAATTTCATTTACAAACAAATATGAATCAAGTCAAACGGCAACTGAGTATTATTGAGTCCTCTGATGATTTGAGAAAAAAATTACGAAGTTAGTGACAGTTGTGATATTCAATGAATAATCTATTATTAATTTTTTTATCACGAATGTTCACTATAAAACAGAGTAAATTATGATACAATTCATTCGATTATATATATTATATATTGTTTTATCTAGAAACTCGATCAATTGTCTTGAAAAATTTGTCAAATGAAATTTTCTATGAAATTTCCAAATATCTTGACAGCTATTATATGTTTTGTGCTTTTCCGAATCTCAATTCTAGCTTTCAATATCTTCTTGTTAACTTGTCTATT